TAGATCGATGCCCAGAGACCCGTCATGAAGGGCGTCGCACATCTGCTGCATAAAGCAATCCATGTTATCTGATCCAGGAGATACCGGACCCGGTGTGAGTTCGCCCTCTTCGAAGAACCCTGGAGCATAAAACGTGGTTATGAACCCCAAAAGGTAAATTACCTTAAAGCAATAAAAATAAAATGTTACCTTCCCCTCCATCGACAGTGCTTCCTAAGTCCACTCCATAATCGAATTCTCCTCTGTCGGTATCTGCATCCACATATTCCTCCTCGGAGGTCTCGTCGTCGTCACCCGTAGGAAGGAGCTCTTCATCATCTGTGAGAAGAGATTTGGCATGTCCCTTTCTCCGCTTCTGAGCAAGCTCAGCCCTGCGAGCAGCCATCATGGCAGCCCGGACCGAGTGCTCAGACTGTAATTCTGAAAGGCTCCTCACACCTATGGATTCATAGGCGGAAAGGAACCACTTGCAACTAAGGAAAGTGGTCAGCGGCTTATGCCTATATGAAGGAAGAGCAAAATGGGCTCCAGTGCAGCCCACCATAGTCCACAGCCATGCTCGTACGCCATCAATCAGTCCTCCCTCAACCTGCAGGCTACGGCTTGGATTCCCGACATATAGTTGGTCATAGCCGAACTGACGAGCAAAGCGGCAGGGGAGGTAAGGCTCTATGTGGCATTGATTCTTCACCCGGAGGACAAGATACCCAACGCGGATGTTCACTAACCAGCGGAAACAACCAACGTCGAGAACAGTCCGGTCACTTCTAGGTCTCTCCTCGTCAATCAGCACGTCGCCATAGCGACCTGAAAAGTGAGGAAAACACTTGAAGAACTCCCAGCTCTTACGGACTCGGAGCTCTCGTTGGGACAAACCGGTATCGAGTTCTCCTCTGTCGGTATCTGCATCCACATATTCTTCCTCGGAGGTCTCGTCGTCGTCACCCGTAGGAAGGAGCTCTTCATCATCTGTGGGAAGAGATTTGGCATGCCCCTTTCCCCGCTTCTGAGCAACCTCAGCCCTGCGAGCAGCCATCATAGCAGCCCGGACCGAGTGCTCAGACTGTAACTCTGAAAGGCTCCTCACACCTATGGATTCATAGCCTGCTAGTAGAGTCCGGGGCCCAATGAACTTCTGTGCACGGCAGAGAAAAGAACGAAACTTGGTTCCCGCAGGAAAAGCTCCCTCAGCACTGGCAATGGTGTAAGAACGAGCCTCAGCCTTCTCTAACAACTCATTAATGGCAGTAGGGGTCAACACATCTAACTCACGAATGGGCTCGCTGGAATTACCCTCCAAATTCTGGAACAAATAGCTAGCAAACTGCTTCAAGCTGATCTGCCTCTTCCTTTTCGCTAAAGGAGAAGTCTGGACCAAGGAGGTATAATAGTGACAAGTGAGATCCCAGAGAGTGTCATACATATCGGGAGTATCTTTCTTCATACACTCCAACTGCTGGTTCAAGGGAAAATACTCCTAATATGGACAATCCCCCATCGGAAGACCAGAAACCTGATGCATCTCATGCAAGGCCAACCCTAACTCGCCACCGCTGGTCAGGAAGGTGTTACTGTCAGGCATGTAGGTCTCTAGCAACGCCAAGAAATGGCGGCAGCTGACCGGGATTCCGTACATGGTGGCTCGTATAGGTGCATACAACCCACTGCTCTTCAAATCCCTCTCCCAGCGCGCCAAGACGAAACTGGTCATGCGTGCCCGTTACTATCAGGCATGTAAGTCTCTAACAACGCCAAGAAATGGCGACAGCTGACCGGGATTCCGTACATGGTGGCTCGTATAGGTGCATGCAATCCACTGCTCTTCAAATCCCTCTCCCAGCGCGCCAAGACGAAGCTGGTCATGCGTGCCCACCACCCCTTGGCTAGTGAGGAAGCCCAACCATAACATCTATAATCTGGTGGAGGTAACCTTCTCCCCAGAAGAGCCAGACGATTACCCACGGTAGGAGCAGCTGCTGATACCTCGCCTGGGGGTGCAGTGTCAAGGCCCATGATCCCTGGTTGAAGGCCACGAATATCATGATACCTGTTAGAACCAGGAGTCTTGTGATGAGTGGCATACCCACACTGAACTCGCTCAGCATCATCAGTAAGGCGCCAAGACATCTGTCGCTCCACGGCCTGCCCCTTCAAGTGACTGAAAGAATATTGGCGTGGAATAGAGGGAATGTATGAGGGAGCTCCCTCGTCGAGAGACAGCCAGTGTTCCTCGGCAAGGGTCAACGTAGCAGGATCCTCGACATGATCTCCGAACAGGAAGCTCGGCTTCTTTAAAGCCTGAGTAGAGGTAGAATCAGCAGTAAAGGAGGCATCCGTAATAAGCTGGCGCAGGCAATGACGCCCTCCTTCCCGTATTAAGCGACAGGATTCATCGGAGTGACCTCTGTCAAACCGAGGGAGTGGACTAACGGCCTGCCTGAGGGAAGCTGAAGAGAAGACCTCCCGGCTACAACCAGTATTGGCATGAGGAGGAAGGCTGCCCGCAGGAAACTCTACTGCAATAAAGCACAAGGGTAGAGTCAGAAAATCCATCTCATAAGAAGAATGATAAGCTCATTCACGGAATAATTGGAGAGACGATTTTGAGTGTCCTACACCGGAAGAACGGTATGCATCATCACGTGAATAACGTGGTAACATACACCGACCTATAAGGTGTAGGACGACACAAAATCGCCCCAATATACCAGAAGACTTGAATTGGCCAAGCAAGACAAGTCTGAAACCTTAACCCCCGCGAAGGAGGGTGTCGGTTCTTCCTTCATGACCCGCGAAGTGGTCAATCAGGGATACGGAAAATATAAATTCTCACCCCCAAAGAAAGAGGCCGCGGGGGAGGATGTCGCAGGAACCTCTTCCTCGCTGTGCTGCGAATGAGAACGACTCCTTCGAGGTCGAGGTAGGCGTGGAGACATTGAAAATCTGCAACGAAAAGCAGCAAGTCAGGTACAATCTAAAATATGAATACACGAAATTTAAAAGGGAAATTAAGAACTTTAATTAAAATCCTATGTATAAATAGGATTTCATAATTGAAGTCTAGTTAAACCTACAAATTGCGTGCATGCGGAACAATGATTGTCATTTTTTACGGTGAATTTTGGTGAAATACCCAAAATACCCTTCGTGTTCAAGGCTAAAATTCGGGTCAAGGACACGCTCGGGTTGGGTCATGGTCATCATATCTGATCATATAGCACCCCCCCGATACCCCACAATTTTGGTTAATTTTACAAATAAACCCTTTTGTAAAATAAAGCCAAATTTGCAAATAAACCCCTTCACAAATTTCAATTTAACGTCCACATACCCTTATCAAAACTTTGGTTATTGGGTTGTGGTCTAAACTTTTGGAATTTCAGCCCTAAATTTCAGCCCTTTTGCAAATAAACCCCTCTACACTTTATGGGTTGCTTTTTTGCAAATAAACCCCTCAAACAACATTGGTTTTCTCGCATAAAGCACCCCTCAAGT